AGAGACAAAAGGTAGATGGGATAACATAAGATAAGGAAAGCTGGCAAGAAACAAGCCAAGCTAAGGCCAGGCATTCATAACTAAGAGTAGGCCTTCTTGTGTGATTTATTTGGGAGCTGGGTGGTGGGCCCTCAAAAAAACAAAAGAGTAAAACATCATACAACACAAATGTATACATAATAAACAAACAAACAAGCACATAAATAAAAATCTTAGGATTGGAGAGATGGCTCAGGGGTTAAGAGCACTCTGTGCCATTTCCAGAGGTCCGGAGTTCAGTTCCCAGCAACCACATGGTGGTTCACAACTATCTGTAATGAGATCTCATGCTCTCTTCCGGCCTGCAGGGATATATGTAGGCAGAACACTGTATACATATCAAATAAGTAAATCTTTAAAAGAAAATCTGAAAAAAAAAGTAAAGCCTTCTGAAGAAGCCTGCCCTGTCCTCTGATGTATGTGTGCTTTATCAGCAAGTCTAGACTTATCACTACTCCCTTCTCACTTGACCCATTCAGTGTGATGCCATCAGTATTATGGGCCAGCGTGATACCTTGTTGATGTAGGATTCCCTCTGTATGCTGTGATTACTACTGATTAATAAACTGCTTTGGGCCTAATGCAGGGAAGAACAGAGGTAGGAGGGGAAAACTAAACTGAATGCTTGGAGAAAGAAGGCAGAGTCAGAGAGCCCCCATGGAGCCTCCAGAGGAGAAAGACGCAAGCTGGTAGCCGGAACCTTGCAGGTAGGCCACAAGCCTTATGGTAAAATATAAAATAATAGAAATGGGTTAACCAAAGATAAAAGGGTTAGCTAGCAGTATGTTTAAGTGATTGGCCAAGCAGTGACTTAAATTACATAGTATTTGTGTGATTATTTCGGGTGTCTAGGTGGCCGGGAAACAAACAAGTGGCCTCCTACAACACCTTATGAAAGAGCTGGACAATCAAGACTCTTCAGACAGAGTTATGACACAGGACTGGCACACTCATACTGCTAAGAGCAGGGAGACCACAGCCTCAGGTAAAGGGAGTTCAGTGTCCACTGTCTCTCTGGGGTCTCTCCACACATCTCCACCCCGGTTACCGCATCCCACCCCTCTCGAGTCAATGCTCTTATGTCGACTACAGAGGCCTGTGGAGGCCAGAACTTAAATGCGCACTGTAAAGCAACGGTCACCACAGCTTCAGCCCTATGGCCGCTGGAGAGGAGTTCAGGACGTGCCCCGAAGCCTTTGGAGTGTGTGCACATCACAGCTAGGAAACTGGATCTCTTGGATCAGCCGTTCCCTCTGTTACTTCGTCCAGAGAATCTAGAAACCAGAAGGCAGCAGCAAGATGTTCCTCGGCTTTCCAGAAATGTGCCAAAGCACTATTACAGAGCTGCCAGATTCTTCACTGCTCGCAAATGGGAAATGGTGACTTTTTCGTTTTGCTTTGCTTTTGTGTTTTGAGATAAGGTTTCTCTGTGTAGCCCTGGCTGTTCTGGAACTCCCTTTGTAGACCAGACTGACCTCAAATTCAGAGATCTGCCAGCCTCTGCTTCCTGGGAGCTGGGATTAAAGGAATATGTCATATACCACCACCTGACTTAAATCAAGAATCTTAAATGCTCTTATTTGTTTATATATATATATAATTTATTTTATTTTATATTCATTGGTGTTTTGCCTAAATGCATGCCTGTTTGGAGGTGTCAGAAGGCCTGGAACTAGAGTTATAGACAGGGTTGAGCTACCATGTGGGTCCTGAGAATTGAACCCAGGTCCTCTGGAAGAGCATTCAGTGCTCTTAGCCACTGATTCATCTCTCCAGCCCTATTTTTGCATATTCTTTAAGCAGTGAAATAGCTTTAGTTGTAGTCAGATTTAGAGTCAGCTTGAGACACGTCAGGCTGTTAAGGACGTTCAACCTTACAGTTTCTATAGAACTACTCCTGGTATCAAACCCTGTTATTATTTAGGGTTCTCTAGAGTAGCATAACCAAAAAGATGCAAACAGACAATATAAATATATAAAACAGATCTGCTAGGCAGTCAAAGATCTGTATTTAGTATAAATCGTGGTTTTCAGTCCATGTCTTTCCCCGAGAGATTCCATTTTACAAGCACCCCTTGACTGTTGTAAGTGAACACAAACATGACTCTGAACCTGTAGAAGGAGCTGCGGGCTGCGTTCCTGCCACCCGGCTCCCGGCCGCCTGGCTAGCTTATGTCTCGAAATAATTACATGGAAACTGTATTCTTTTAAACACTGCTTGGCCCATTAGTTCTAGCCTCTTAATGGCTAATTCTCACATCTTGCCTAACCTATATTTAGTAATCTGTGTAGCACCAGTCTTACTGGGAAAGATTCAGCATGTCTGACCTGGTGGCTTGCTTCATTGCATCTGCCCTGGAGAGGAGAGGCATGGCGTCTGCCTAACTTCCCTTCTTCCCAGCATTCTGTTCTGTTTACTCCACCCACCTATGTTCTAACCTATCAGGCCAAGCAATTTCTTTATTAATTAACCAATGAAATCAACAGATTGATATTTGACACTCCCACATCATGAACCTTGTTAGACACATACACAGTCCTCTGTCCTGCCCTTCCCACAAGACACAGACTGAGAAGTAACTTCTTTCTACAAATATAAATGTGGCATAAAGTTTTCAAAATAAATTGGAGCCACATAGGCATGGTAAAATCATATCAGGAAACCAGACCCACGAGAACATATCAACTACACCAGACTCGAGAGTGAAGTGCACTCACCTGGACCCCTTAAAGTGGGAGACACCTAACACTGATGGCAATAGTCCCCAACAACCTGTCATCTGCCTCCCAAGTGCATTTGTCAAAGGACTGACAGACAGATCACTCCCAACCACAGAAGCTGCTGCTCCTTTTGGCTCCCACAGTGATGTTGTCCACTTGAATTGCTGCCCAACCATCCAGCTGGTTACCCTATTTGTCTGGACATGGTCCTGAATCTTGTATGGCAGCTCCACTTGACCCCAACGCTCTGCTCAGTTCTGACCCTGTGACTTGGCTTGAGCAGCTGGTCGCAGTCCAGAGATTCTCTCTGTATCTCAGTTACCTCACACTTCTGAGTCTCGGCAAGGTCCCTTTAACCTCCTTGGACTCTGCCATGACCAAAGAAGCAGAGAACTCAGTCGCTTCTCAGCGCATGACGCTGAAAAGCCTCCGCAGTTCTGGTCCAAGGCTGAAGACCTGAATTCTTCCTGGAGAGTCACTGGTTTGACGTCCATGTTGAAAAGCTGAAGATGCTGATGTCCACTGCCCTCCAGTGACACCAGCAGTGACAGACACACTCACTTTCTCTAGCTTCTTCCTCCACCTTTCCCTCCTGAGTCCCGTCCTCAACATCTTTCAATCCAATCGTTTGATAACCAAGACCATCTACTTGGTGACCATCAGTGACTGCCCTGAACTCCTATGCCTCCAGGAACTCTCTGGTGCTCACCCTCTTGCTCCACACTCCCCTGTTAATCATCCACACACGCTGCTATCCGCAGCTTTATTTCAAAGGGTGATGAGGCGTTCATAGCCCAGCGCTGCTGGCGGTCCTGTGCCGTTACCTCTATCCCCAACGTGATGGGCAGTATCTGTGCACAGTCACACTCCCCCCCCCCCCCCGTGTGTCCACCTGTGCTTGGCTTTGTGCTGTGGAGATGTAGGGAGGTCAGCCTTGCTTTGGGAAAGGACACACGGGCTGGCTCCTGATGGGGGCAGAGTTGCAAGGCTGTGCGGTTCCTGTGCTGCTGCTTGGTCCCTTGGAAAGTATATGGGGTGTTCTTGGTGGCACATTTTCATTCCTGGTAAGTAGGACAGAGTGACAGGTGGTGCATGGGAAATGGAGTCACAGAACTAATAATCCCCCAGCCCTGCCACAGGGACCTTGCAATTTGGGCTGTCTCCATCTGCGGGATTATTCTTAGTGAGGATTTAAACTGAACAGATGGTTCCGCTTGTCTAAAGTTGCTTCTGGAATGTTCTAACCTTTTCTTCCTCCAAGACATAGTGAGAGCAAGAGCACACCCCAGTGGTGTTGTGTTTGCTAGGTTCTATGTCTTGAGTCTCAGGTTTCTCTCTGCCCCCGCCCTGTGAGAGTGGGTACCTGAGGACATCCCTAACAGGAGCTGGGGGTTGAGACGCCCCATGGAAGTCTTCTCTATTCCTGCCTCCCAGATCAAAGATGAGGTAAATTCTACCTCTACAGGCACCATAGGAAGGTCAAACTCCACATATCCAACCTGGAAAATTCCCATCTGCCAGGGGGCAATAGCTAGCCATTGCCATCTGCAGATGGATAGACAGGGCGAAAGCAGTGGTTCTGACTGCTGAGGCCCAGGTGGTGGGTGCTGGGGGTCAGAGGGGCTTGATACAGACAGGGCTTGACTGGCCCTACACAGTGGAATGCTGGGAGTCTCCTGAGAGCTCTGCCCTTGAAGTGGGCTTGGCTAGAGAGCTACCCGTGGGCCCCTGACTTCATGGGGAACTCGTAGCCTGTGTTGTGCATTGCCACCCAGGAGCTCACGCGGCGTTGTAACCATCATTATAGGAGTTGAGAGAAAACGGGCAAACACCTGCAAAACTAAGATGGGTGACCAGGCAGCAGTGACGCATGCCTCTGATCCCAGCACTGGGGGGGGGGGGGAGAGGCAGGAGGATCTCTGTGAGTTCCAAGCAGCCTGGGCTACATATAGAAACTATGTCTCAAAAAACCCCAAAAGGGAGAGCTAGCTGCTAGCTGTGTGTATAATCACATAAGTCAGACAAAAGTTCTCAGAGTTCCCTGTTTCTTTCTATCATTTCCCAGGTAACCCTCTTGCCACACTTGGGTTCTATGGTACCTTTTGTTCTGACTATCCCCATTTGTACCACCTCTCTTATTGTAGTTGTTTTGTTTTATTTTTGTTTTTTTGAGACAGGGTTTCTCTGTAGCTTTGGAGCCTGTCCTGGAACTCCCTCTGTAGATCAGCCTGCAGTGGATGAGCAGGGAATGCTGGGTCAACACTGGCCAAGGCAGCAGCAGCCACACTAGACACAAATATAGCATCTTTATTGTGTGATGTTCCAGGCAGGGGTGGACAAGTCCTGGCCTTTGGCGTGGCCAAGGCAAAGCCAGGTGATTTTAGAACTCTGTGGAAACCAAGCTAGACTGGCTTGGGCTGGCTCAGTGGCTTGGCCAGAGGAGGGTGAAGGCACTGCGGCTACATTTGAAATCTGGCTCAGGCTGCTCTGGCCTTGGCTCCACAGAGATGAGGCGCCGGGCACCACGTTGACTCAGTGGGATACAGTCAGAAACACGGACCTCCAGGGTTCTCCCCTCCCTGCAGCAGGAAGAGCAGAGGGTCAGGGTGGCAGAGCTCTGTATGCCCACTTCCCAAAAGGACCCCAGACTCACCCTTGGCAGTGTGCAGCCAGCATGCCCACCAGCTCCCCAATGCGATTGTCGAGTGGTGGCTGGGAACGGTGTAGACACACTACAAGGTCATCATAGCCTTGGGCGTGTAGCACCACCAGCTGGTCTCGTCCACTGGTCACACTCAGCCCTGTCACCTGAACAGAGAGCTTGGGGTCAGAGTCACATCAAGCAAACCACTTCCTTCCAACAAGACTTCCCTGAGCCCCACTTGGGGAGCCCTATCTTTGGCAGAGTGTCCACTCCAGTATCCAGCCACCCTATGCTGTCCCTGCCTCCCCTCTCTGATCCCTGCTGACAGAGGGGACGACGGGCATGACATCATGCAACAGGATATAGCTACTGTATCACATAGATAGAGTGATACCACTGGTCCTTTGGCTCTCATAGCATTGGAATCACCAGGGGTGGGAGACTCAGAGGTAACATAGCCCCATCCCTGTCTCAGGCTGCTCCTTGTCCTATGAGAAAGAAAATTCTTGGGAATGAAGCTGGCATGCAAAGAACCAAGTTGCCATAGGGCCAGGCAAAGGAAGGGACAGTGTCCCAGAGGAGGTTACTAAAAGTTATGGTGAGGGCTCAGATCTACACAGGCAGGAGATCCTCTAAGACAGCAAAGGCAGAGAGAGAGGGGGTATTTGACTTGGCTAGAGCGTGAAAGCATGAGGTAGGGGCGCTGAGGTACTTGAGAAAGTTACTATAGGGTTTTCAGAGGAGTGCTACCATCCGTTGAGTGCGGGTGACCTGGACAGATAGACAATGGAGAAGACGAGGTAAGGCTCCCAGCCCAGGGTCCTCACCGACACTCTACAGGTGGTGGAGAATGTCTACCATGCTCACCGCATCCAAGGGCACAGCCCGCATCACCCGGTACTGTCGGCCAGGCTCCAGCTTGTAGAGATGCCGGTCGGTGAGCAGGAGGGCCCTGTCCCGGCTCTTGCGGAAGCGATTCACCTGCGGAGGAGCTGGCTGGGCCCAGGCTGGTACTGCCCATTCTTCTCCAGGCCCAGCAACCCCAACTTCCTCCCTCTCTATGTCCTTTCCTCACTGACTGACCGGGGATGACACTTTCTAGGGTATCTGAAGCCACCAGAACTGGCTGGGGCAGTCTCAGGTCTCCTCTGAGTGTCTCTCATCTTTGTGCCCCATGACCTCCATTCAAGTACCAACCTTGCGCACGTGACTGGAAAAAAGCACGGACCCAAAACCATCCTTCTCCCGAAGAGCTTTCAGTTGCTCAGCAAACAGGTGAGAAGCTGTGGGGTTGTCAGTGTCCTGAAGACAAATGATGGGAAGAGGGTGCTTGGGGTGGGGTCTGGAATCATGCTGGATTGACAGAAACTCTCAGCAAAATATCCTTCTCCGCCTTGGTGAATCTTTTTTTTTTAATATTTATTTATTTGTTTATTTATTTATGTATTTATTATGTATACTATATTCTGTCTGTGAGTATACCTGCAGACCAGAAGAGGGCACCAGACCCCCATTACAGATGGTTGTAAGTCACCATGTGGTTGCTGGGAATTGAACTCAGGACCTTTGGAAGAGCAGGCAATGCTCTTAACCTCTGAGCCATCTCTCCAGCTCCTCCGCCATGGTGAATCTTAGTCAAGGTCCTGTACTTCCACAGCTGAGCATACGGGTTCTTTGAGAGCGGAGGGCACAGAACTTCACTGTTTTGACAGTTGAATGGCCTCCTCTTCCTGAAAACTAGCCTGGCTGGACTGGATTTTATGTGGAAGTTCTAGAGAAAGGCTCCAGAAGGCATGAATGGGTTGCATGTCTCACCCAACCACACAGAAATACTCTGGAGACCAGGCCCAGGGATGGTGTCATAGCTAATGTTAGTTGCCAACTTGACACACCTGAGAAGTGCCTGCATGATATTTTCTTGATTGCTTATTGATGCAAGAGGGCCCCGCCCACTGTGGGTGGTGTCCCCAGGCAGGTGGGCCTGGGCTACCTAAATGATGGTTGAGCAAGACAAGGAGAGTGGGCCAGTTGGCAGCACTCCCCTGTGGTTTCTGCATCAGTTCCTGCCCTGAGTCCCTGCCTGGGCTTCCCTGGATGGTTGACTATACTCTATGCACTGAAATGAACCCTTTTCTACCCAGGTTGTTTCTGGCCACAGTGTTTATCACAGCAACAGAAGGCAAGCTAGAGAGATGGCAAACTGACAATAGCCGGGAGAAGGTGAAGGGAGCCATGGCAACAGGAATATTGGCAAATGTGACGTGTGAGAGAATGTGTACGCATGCCCATGTGTGTGCTTGTGTCTGAATGGGTATTGTAACTGAGAATATGAAGGGCACCTGTGCCTGAGAACACAGCACTCTCAGGGGGCAGGGGTTGTTCAACAGAATCCAGGATTGGGTATGGTTAAAAAATCCCAAAACCTCAAGCAAGAACCTTTGGAGCAGGGCCAAGAAGAGGGTTCAACAGGCCAGGCAACACCAGGATGGACAGAATAGCTGGTAAGACCCATGCCAGGGTTAGTTCAGTTCTGAGCACTCATTGCCCTGGACCGAACGATACTCACAGAGGACAGGTAGTCTCGGGCCCAGGCCCGCTGGCAGCCCCAATCCTGACGCAATCCTTGCAAGGCCCCCATAGCGGCCACCTTGGCCTTGATCTGGGTCATGTCTGAAGGAGGAATGTTCTTCACTAACTGCCGTGCCCGCCACCTTGAAGAGGACAAGGATCAGAAGACACCTATCTGTGTTCATGGCTTCTCCAGCTCCTCCCCCAAAGAGCCGTTTCTTCATCTGATGTTGACTGCTCTTTGGGTCCCCATCCCTGCCTATCTTTCTGGCCTTGACCTTTTGTACCCAATGTGTGTCCTTAGGAGACAACCTCCAAACCCACAGTCGTTCAGCCTGACACTTGCTTTGGGTTCTCCTTCCGGAGAACTACTCAGATTTCCAGGTCCCTACCAACACAGAGTCCCCATTTCCCAGCCTCCCTAACTAGCTTCCTCTGTGAAGGCCATGGCACTGGACCAGTACAGTCATGGTACCTCGATGGCCAGTTACTACTACTCAACCCTATCTTCCTGCTTATTCAGGGGGTGGGTCTCCCAGTCAGGCTCAAGGATTCAGAGGACAGTGACTGCATGAGAAATCATATGGAGGGCTGAGATGGTACCTGCTGAAAAGAAGATGGCAAGTGTCCTGGAAGGGCTGCAACACAGCAGGAGGTGGTGGCCACACAAGGTCACGGCCATAGAGTGGGGGCTGCCGTGCAGCCTGGAACCGTCGCTGCAGTTCAAGCAGGTGAGCACGCACCTTGTGCCTCCGGAACCAGCGCATGATAGTATAGATGGCCCTTAGCCGCCGGCAGCGCCACCTAGCCAGGGTGCCACGCCATGCCTAGATGGAACCCATGGGATAGAACAAGGGGTCATTCCCAAGCAAGGCACTAATGTCCTACTCTAAGATGGCCTTTAGTCTTTCCTGAGCACCCCTGGCTTGTCTCCAAGAAGGCTGACCACACCTCCTGCTCTTTGGAGCCACTTCCATCTGGAGGCTTGTTCTTGGGTAGGCATGTGGCCCTTGAGGATAGGCAAGCCCTGCTTAAGGCTCTGCGGGCTCTCAGGAAAGAGCAGCTCTTCTGGACCAGACCTTGTAAGCTGGCCCTGTTGGCTCCCTAGGCAGAAAGCTTGTGTGGGAGAGAGGAGACAGGAGATGAATGTCTCCACGGCTCCCAGAGACAGAGGGGCATCCCCAGAATGTGACTGTCAGAACTCAGACTGAACCTCACAAGGAAGGCAGCCAGGGACCCACGCATGACTTCAAAATATCAGGAACACTATCAAGAGTGCAGTGGGAAAGGCATAGTCTGCAGCTCTTTGTGGACACTCATCCCCCTCAAAGAGGGTGTCCAACTGGCACCCCTTCTCGTACCTTCTGCAGTAATAACACAATGATGGGAATGAGGCGAGCTCGGCTCTGTTCCAGAGTGACCAGCGTCCTTGGGGATCGGATGAAGAGCTTGCTGTGGCCAAAGGCCACATCCCCTTGCAGCCCATGCTGCTCCAGCAGGGCGCTCACAGCCTCCTTGTCGGAGCCCAGCAGGTGGTTGGGCCACGTGTACTCGCAGGTCATCTTGTACCTGTCACCACAGAACAGGAAGGTGGGAGTTTGGTGTCAGACAGTACACATCGATCCCCGCTCCGTGAAGAGCACTGGGAAGAATGTAGGGGTACCAGGAATCCACGGGACTGACAGTTATGACCTTGGGCATTGCCCTCACCACCAATTTCTTCCCACACCTATTACATGTGTCCCCACATATGGCCTTGCACATATACACATGTTCACATACACACATCTTCCCCACACTTTCTCACTGACATTTTGGTGGGTGCCTTGGGGCCAGAGGTACACTGGCTCCAACTTGCATCGTCATTTAAGACATTATTTAGGGTCCCTCTGCTTCTACCTGCCAGATTCCACATGGAGTCATCGCCCACGTTTGTGGTGGGCGTGGGAGCCTGTACCTGAGCAGGAATCGCGGGTAGGGCTGACGGGAAGCAAAGCCAGCCCTGCGGACCCTCACATTCTCCAGGAGCCCCAGGTATGCCACCTGGTGGCGACAGTGGGCTTCATCGAGCCGCCCAGCCACCTTGTCTTCATTGGGCTTGATGCAGCGGACATAGAAGGGCTCCTGTAGGGACAGAGGGCACTTAGGGGCCTAAGCTTGTGGTTTCTGTGTGTCCTGCCCCAAGAAGACAGGGCTTCTCAGGCCCCAAAGAGCTGGATTAGCAGAGCCGGGATAAGGGAAATCACAGCAGAACAAGGGTCCTAGAGCCTCACGAACCAGAGCCCAGAGCTAGGTTCCGGTCCAGGAAGGAGGAAGGAGCTCTTCTCTCTGCCTTCTCCCTCTGCGCCAGAGAGGCTACCATTTCTGGATGTTCTGCTAACGCACCCTTCCATACCCTCCTCTCAGCTGCTCCTCTGACTTTCGGTCTGAAGCTCCCCAAGAGAGCTAGTGCCAATTTCTGGTCCCTGTGGCTTTCAGACACTCTTACCCAGGAGGCAGTAGGCTAGGGGTTTACTGCTTTCAAAGCTTGCCCTGTGTTCAGTGGTTGTACAAGTCTGACCTCTGAGCACCATATCTAACCTCTACTACAGATCTGGTCCCTAGTGGGGCAAGCAGGACCCAAGCAGACAGAATAAGAATGCCCACCCCTCCATGACAGAGAAGGACATGAAAGGCAATACCTTGGAAGCCAAGTTCTCCACTAGTGCAACCATGGAGTTCTTAAAAAGCGTGCCAGCTGTCAGGGGGCGCTTGGTTACTTCTGTAATGTCCTGTTGCCCATCTGGCCACATGGCCCGCAAGGTGGGATCTGCACTGTAGACACAAGCTGCGTTTACCCAGATGCCCTGGCAAGGCGTAGCCCACGTGACCTAGGATGGCTCCAAACTACGTAGTTTTATTTTTGAACCTCTCAGGCTGTCTGTGAATTAAGTAGGGATTAGACCTCAGAGTCCCTGGCCCCCAGCCTGGCCTGGCAAAAGCCGCCCTTACCTATTGTACAGCAGCCGTTTGAAGTCCTGGAAAAGGGAATCTCTATTCTTGTCAATGAAGCCCTCCACAGAGTACCTGACCAAGACAAGAGTGGGTGAGTAGATCAAGGGCCCAGCAGACAGGCCACCTAGAGTGCCACCTTCTGCCATCTATCTCTAATTTCCTGGGTTAGTATCTCCCAGCTGCTACCCTCTGCTGCCTGGTCTCCCTTGGGTCTGCGTTCTCTTTTGTCCCCTACACCTATTCTCCTTAGGATAAACTCCCCTGCCGGAAAGGACTCAGTGGCGGAGGTCCCAGAACTAAAGCCAAACATCCCTGCACCAAATCCTAGCTCTTCCTCGAGTGCACTGGGTGGCTTTGGAAACGCTGTCTCATGGCTCCGCTTCTCGAGGTACACTAAATACTTGAGCCAGGTCTGCTGGGTTTCTATGAATACCAGCAATTACAGTCATGACGAACAGCTCCAGCCTCGTGACATAGAACCTCAGAAGAATTCTTGGTTCTTGGACCACTGGAAAGTTAATTGATAAATATTGGCTCTGCTTATAGCATTGATGAAGATACAAGTGTGGATTACTGTAACAGGTATGATCATCAATTTCCTCTCCTTGGGAAGCTTCCATCAAATACTGCACTTCAGAGAGGAATGAGAGGTAAATTATCGGTCATAATGACAAGCCCAGAAAGAAAACCTAGACTTTGAAGCTCCGAAGTGTGGTGCTAGTTAGTTTTTTTGTCAACTTGACACAAGCTTTTCCAGGGCCTCTGCTTCAGTTCCTGCTTTGAGTTCCTCAAACGAGGAACTATAATTGGATTATGTTTCTGAAACAAACCTTTTCCTCCCCAAGTCACTCTTGGTCGTGGCCCTTATCACAGCAACAGAAAGCAAGCCAGGACAGCTGTCGGGACTGCTAACTATAAGCCCCACCGGGGGCTAACTATAAGCGCAAGGAATTAGCCAGGATGTGGGGGTACATGCAACAATCCCAACAACTGGAAGGCTGATGGAGGAGAGCCACGGGTTCTAGGCCAGTAGTGACAACCTATATAGACCACGTAAGGGTTGGGGAGGCACTCACTGGAACAGTGCTTGCCTACCGTGTGCACAAAGACCCCAAATCTGATCTCCAGAACAAAAAGAAAAAGATAGAAAGGAAATAAGGAAGAAAAGGGAAAGGGAGACAAAGAAGAAAAGGAAAAATATGCAGGATTCTTGCTTTCTAGGGACCACCTACCAACCCCTTCATATAACAGGGGTAAGGTAGGGCTCTAGAATGGGTATTTTGTTGTTAGGTTTTTGCTTTTGTTTTTTTTTTTTGAGAGGGTCTCCCTATTGTGTAGCCCTGGCTGACCTGGAATCACTTTGTAGAGTGGAATGACCTTGAACTTACAGACAGCTGCCTGCCTCTGCCTTCTAAGTGCTGGGATTGAAAGTGTATGCCACCATGCCCAGTTTGACCTGGGTGTTTTAAAGGAGCGTCTAGATGCATACAGCTGGGGTAGGACCCAAAACTTGGTGTCTTTCCTGTACCTATGCTTCTTGGGACTGAAGGTCCTACTCACGTGACATCCCCTGCATAGTGTTTGATCCGGAAGTCTCGGCCAAACTCCATGGTTTTATCTGTAGGGCAAAGCTGTGGTACAGGCAATGGTAAGACATGGGCAATGGGGGCAGCTTTGTAGTCTATGTGAGGGGACAATCCCACAGGCACCTTTGCTGGACAGAGGTAACTATGACAGTAGCATCAGGCTACCTCTGTACGTGTCCCCACCCTCGGTGCTGCCACTGCACGGGGACAACTAGCGCACCTGGCGGCTCGAATAGTGCGGGTGGTGGCGGTGATGTGTGTCCAGGGTCTGCAGGAAGATGCGGTCAGTGATCGGGCCTGCTGTGCTGCAGGCCTCATCTAGCACAGCCAGGATGCCTCGGTGGGGCCGCTCGACTAGTTCCACGATGGTGGCGTTGTTGAAGTATTCAATCTGGAGTGGAGGACACCAGAAGGGAGGCTCTAGAAAAACTCCCGACACTGACCGGTCGCCTCCCCTTGCTCAGGGCCTGCTTGTTGCCCTTCCAGGTCCCTTGAGGCTCCTAACGCATGCTCCTCCCTGATAGCCACCAGCCGCCCTCCCCGCCCCCGGCCCCGCCCCCGCCCCCATCACCACCGCCCCCCGCCCCCTGCCCCCCCCCCGCCCCCGCCAGCCCAGCGGCTGTGCTCACGCTCTGCCAGGCGATGCCCTCGCGCTCATACTCCTCTTGCTCTTGCTTCAGGATAAGCTGGATGAAGAGCTGCTGGAGCTTCTCGTTGCAATAGTTGATGCAGAACTGCTCAAAGCTGGGGGTGGGGTGGGACCTTCAGAGGGGCTCTCACTCCTTGGGGGTTAGGTAGTGATGGACAGCTGCCTGTCTCCTAACAGCTCTGCACTGTGAGGTATGAGCTCTCCTCCCTACCACCCCATGTCCCAGAATGAACTTGGGAGCCATCAAGAGAAGTGAGCCCCCAAATTTCACCTGCCATCAGGTTACCATAACTGCCTGGAGGTAGAGCCAAGGCAAGCTTAGACTCAAGGGCCGGCAGGAGAATCTAAACATTCCTTCCTCCTGGCCCAAACAAAGTTTCTGAATTACGAGGGCCACAGTGGTTACAGGGTCAAATGTACAGTTGCGGTTGGCTGGGTTGCCTACCTGTTGACGGGGAAGACTTCAAAGCCATAGATGTCCAGCACACCAATGACTGTGTCCTTGCCGTCACGCCGAGGGTCACGGCCCCGGGGTTCCATGATGCCATTGATCCTGTCCACGACCCACTCAAACAACCGCTGGTACACTGCCTGGAGTAGGACGTGTTTTCTGTGTGACCAGCCCACCATCCCTATCAAGGCCCCATGGTTTCTCCCTCCAGCTGCTCTGAGAAGAGCTGAATACCTTGGCACAGGCGTCCCGGGCATAGCTGGCCTCGGCCACAGTGTGGCCTTTCTCTATGAGTTCTCGGCCTCCGGAAGCCACTGTACGAGCCAGTAAGGTTCGAAGAACAAGGTCCCTGGGTGTGGCTGTTAGCTTGGCCACGTAGTCCACCAGGGCCTCCTCTGCTACTGCCAGGCCTCCTTTCTGTGGCCCATTTTCCTCTGTCTCCACAAACTCGATGTTGCCCTGGTGACGAAGGAATCATGAGCAGGTTGGCTGCCTTTGGGCAGAGAGAAGGACAGATGGACAGATGGACACAGATGGAGACAGAGGATGTGGGCGTGGGAGAACACAGCTTTCACCTAGCCAGCGCTGTCAACTGACCACCGTGAGCCACAGACACAGCAGAGTTCTAAAACTTGCAACTGAGGCCTCTCAAGAAGAACCGAAGCAGAGAGGTGCTGAGGAAGAGCTCAGAGGCCACAGTGCCAGAGGCGTGAGAGTCAAGGCTCAGCTGTCAAAGAGCCTAGGCTCCCCACTCTGTATCAGACCCTACTACTATGGCACAGCCCACTCAGACTCAGCAGGGGAGGAAGGCGGCTCAATGACTCTGCAGGAGTATCCCCCACTAAGTCCAGTCTTTCCCCTTTGGACGCTCCCAGGAGGAGAGGTCGCCCTCCCAATTTCCAGGCCAAGCTCACCAGGTGCAGTATGGCAGCTAGGATCCGATGGATGGACTCCACCTCCTCAGGACTGAAGCCAATGATCTGCATAGCCTCCATCACGGCTTGGTGGCTCTTCTCATCACTATCCAAAGCCTAGGGGAGAAGGTGTTTACTACCCACGTAACATGGGCCCAGGACCCCTGCCCTTATTAGACCTCAGTTCCTCCATCTCTGAGCACCTGCTCACCCTCTCTGCTTCATGAGTCCCTATTCCTCCATCCATATGTGCTCATCCAGTATCCTGTCTCCTCCCTGAACTATTTTCTTGTAGGTAGGGGCTACTTGTTCATATCCTGGCCACCCAGACACAAAATAATTACACAGAAACTATATTAATTAAAACCACTGCTCGGCCTATTAGCTCAGGCTTTTTATTAACTAACTCTTATATCTTAAATTGACCTGTTTCTGTTATTTTATATTTTACCACGAGGCTCGTGGTTTACCGGTAAGGTTCCAGCAGGCGGGCATCTTTCTCCTTCAGCGCCTCTCTGACTCTGCCTATTCCTTTCTATATCTCTTCAGATTTCCCACTCGGCTTTACCCTGCCCTGTCATAGGCCAAAGTAGCGTTATTCATCAACCAATAAAGCAACAACACATAAGCAGGAGGAGATCCCACTTACTTGACCGGCTCACACCCTCTGGCCTACGCCAATTGCTGTCTACTCCCTAAGTCTGACTGAGACCCGTACCCCTTGCCCTCACATTGTGCACACCCATGCTGAGCCCGGCTCCCTGGCGTGTGAAGTTATACACAGCAGGATTCCTCTCCAGATGCAGTCCTTGCAGCTCTTGGTCGTCACTGCCCCTAAGCAACTGGAAGGCACATAAGTCCTTTCGTTAGGCACTGAGTTTCAAGGACCCTCCTTTACCAACTCTATCCCCCAACAGAAACAGGAAAAACTGCCTGTGTCCCAGGCAGGGTACTTAGAGTCTCTGGGTCTCAGATGTTGGAGACAACTCCATTCTCAAGAATGTCCCACCCTTTGGTGCCTGGGGTGAAGTATGATCTTTGGGATAGAGGTAAGGGGAATAAAGACAGTGGTTGGGGGCTGGTTAGCGTTGGGCAGAGAGGGGAAATCGGGGGCAGCGAGGAAGGGAAGGAAGACAGGTCCAGCCTAATGCCCTTCCCTGCCTCTCCCTTTGTTTGCTAGCTTGCTCTCATCCCCTCTCCACTCACAGACTCACCTGGTAGAAGGCATGGAAGTTCCTCTCACCCACATGCTGCTTGAGGACCCTAGACTGAGGCAAGAGGGGTAGTTGGATTCCAATCCGGGAGTGGGTCAGCACCAAGGACCCGGTCTGTGTATGGACCCGGTCTGTGTATTACCAGGAGGAAAGCAGCCCAGGAGTAGGGACGCTGTGACATAGGGACACTGAAGCCCAGAGAAGGGCCACTGAGGGCTCTGCTTTCCCCATGTATGTTCCCAGCCCCTGGGACCTTCGCGTCAGGGAAGGGTCACCTCGGCCCATCCGCCCACCTTCTCCAGCAGATAGCTGTGGATGTGTCCTCCAACAGGATCCCCCTTGAAGTCGAAGTTGATGTCCATGTACTTGCCGAAGCGGCTAGAGTTGTGGTTGCGGTTGGTTCGGGCATTGCCAAAGGCTTCCAGCACACAGGTAGACTTCAGCAGTACATCCTTCACCCTGTGGACAGAGGGACTAGGGACTCAGTGCAAAGACCCCCATCTAGAGAATAACCACGGCGTCTCAGGATGAGCCAGGAAGCTGAGCCGGCTGAGGAACGAGTGGTCCACCGTGTTCAGAGTGTCCCCTGCGCTGTGCATAACTGTCAGCTTCCTTCTGAGAACTGGAAGTGCTCTTGTCCAGCTTGCTTGTGTCCATGAAGCTCTGAGCCCAGGACAAGTGCTTAGCCAATGCCATGTACCGTTTCTTGTGGCCACCCCCGGGTCCCATCTCTTTTACAGCAGAGTCCCAGGTCCCATCTCTTTTACAGCAGAGTCCCGGGTCCCATCTCTTTTGCAGCAGGCCTTTAGCTACAGTGAGGTAGCATGGATGGTCACCTGCTGGGAGACTGATATTCTTGCAGGTGTCCTGCAAGCCCCCACCACAACATTACCACTGGAAAAGACAGGCTAAGACCCGGGTACTTCTGCAGGGCCTGAATGCAGAGTAGAGGGCTGGGCTTCCAGCCCATATCCTGGATAAGGCAACTGGAACTCAGACGCCTGCCTGGCCCTCCTCACCAGGCTGTCAATTTCTCCAGGCTTCGGTAGACTCCACAAAATGTTCCCTTTCCTGCTTTGAGACCTGTTGATGCCACCTCCTCCCCAGCTGGCAGTGTGCACACCTTGTCTTGGTCTCAGCCCTTTCATCTGAAAGGTGCTCGGTGTGGCTTTAGGGTACAGGGAGTGACCTGAAGCCTTCCTGATAGAGGTTGGCTTGAGCTGGCTTCTGCCTTTCATCTTTTGTTTCCTAGCCCAAGGCCCTTCCCCTAGCAAAGAAGCCTTGTGCTGCTGGGCCCCCAAGTGCTCACCTCTCCACCTCAGCCCTCTGGCTTGGGTTGGTGACAGCAGCGATGTACTGCATGATATGCTTGCTGGCTTCCGTCTTCCCTGCTCCACTCTCCCCTGCCAAGAGGAGAGGGAACGAGCATCAGCGACACCGCAGCATCCATGCTTACAGGTGGAAGCACCCCCCCTCATTTATTAGTGAGGCATGACTCTGGCATCCGGTTCACAGGCACAGGTACCTGAGATGACGATGCAGGTGTCCCTGGATCTACGCTTCATTGCCTTGTAGGCAGCATTGGCCACAGCGTAAAGATGGGGTGGTCGCTCGTAGAGCTCACGGCCCTGGTACTTGGCAATGGCCTCTGGTCCATACAATGGCAGCTCCTGGTAGGGGTTCACGGATACCAGCACCTCACCGATGTAGGTATAGATACGGCCCTTCTCAAACCTAGGTACAGCAGAGTAAGGCCTCAGCATTCACATCCACATGGGAGGCCTCAAGCAGTCATCAACCCCTCCCAGAAAAGATCATAGAGAGGAGAAAAGAGAGGCCTCAGTGACTTAAGACACCCTGGTGCTATCCTGGGTAAACTGAGTCACCCAGAGCAGTCCTTAGCACTGTGCAGAGTGGTCCACACTGCTATCTGCAGGATGCTCAGGTCCCAGGAATCAGAGACTTATCCATTCCACAAAGGGGACTGACTTATGAAAGAACCCTGGTTTTTCTCAAGCATCAGGGCTGGCCCCAGGTGACCCCTGGAGGCAGCTGGGTTAACGAGACTGAGAAAAGGGGACTCTTCCAGGGAGGGGGCCTTGGTTGTTTCCTGTCTCAGAGTCTAGGCGGGACCAGAGCCGGAAGGGGACTCGCCCTGCCCCACCCAAATCATAGGGTGGTGATTTGCTTTTCACCCCCTAGTCGTGGCCACCACCCCTCTCCAGCCCATCTTCAGACTTCTCCACCCTTCCGTTCACAAGCCAAGTCACCAGCAGGAGCCTGGGTTGTCCCTCTCTGGGATTTTGTTCTTTGAGAGGAGTCCCGGCCTGCTTGCTCCTTGAGGTCCCATCTGCCCTCGGTGTGTGGGACCCGCCCAACCCCAGGCAGGCCTCCTCAGGGTTCCTCTTTCTGCCACTTGTGACATGGGTACTCCCAGAGACTACAAGCTGTGTGACCTGCCACCACTGTCCTCTGTGGCTCGGTGTACAAAGCAGAGGTGGCATGGTCGTGGGCTTGCTTTCCACAAGAATGAGGCCGACTGCTAACAAAGCATTGGCTCATTTCCTGGAGAGCCCTCTCCATGGGTCAGCCTGCGGCCTCCACCTCTGTGCCTAGGGAGATTCCCTGCCTTCAGGTGCTCTCCAGGGAGCTTCCCAGCACACCGCAGACCCCTCTAGGAGGCAGGCATGAAGTTCCGCTGCAACAAGGCCATTTGTCATGCCGTGGTTTTAGCTCCTGGACCCCTCCCAGCCTTCCTCAGCAGGAAAGTGGGCTCCAGCATCGGTTCTACCCATCCGTGGTAGCCTGAACCCCGCTCATGAACAACCCAGAGCATCGCATCAACTTGCTGCGATTTTCGGGACCCGAGGATGGAGTCCGTTTTATTCTGAAGTTCTCAAGGAGGCTGGAGGAAGGTCCCACATGAGACCTAGGGAAGAAATATCTGCAGGTACAGAGAAAAGGGCGCTAGAGTTCCTGGTCCCCTTGCCTTTGCTCATCAGTCTCAAGGGGGCACCACATTCTGGTCTTGTCAATTAGGGTGTGGTGACAGCCAGTGCGCAGGTCCAACTCTGAAAATTGGTTGCTTTCTGGGTGACCGTTACCTCCCGGAGACACCATTATTCCAGCCTATATTGTCTAGGTGTGTGTGACCCTGTTCCCGGCCCTGATGATGGGACCAGTGTACCTTCCTTACTCAGGTCTGCATGGATGAGAGGGGAGGAGAGGAGGGAAAGGAGCCCGGCACTCATGCCCCATCTACCTGAGCTGTAGGTTCTTCATGAAATCCTCCATTGTCAGTTGGTCCAAAAGCACAAAGTCAGCCTTCCCGTACTCAGGGCCTTCCTCGTCCTCCATCCTGCCCACTGGGAGCACTCAGGTCAGGGCGCCAGAGCTTTCTGTACGGAGGTGAAGGGGCAGACAGAAAGGGGAGGCCCAGCCCTGCCTAACTCCTACAGTGCTGCGGTAAAGTAGGAAGTGGGTTTTGCGGGGGGAGCTTGGCCCTGCCCACTCACAGCTCCTTTGCCCGGGTGCTTCAAATGCTGCTTCCTGCTCCCCGGCCCACAAAGTCTGTGCCTAACGGTCTGGTCCTCTGTTCCGATGGGGTCCTTGTCCTCCTCAAAACTTTTCAAGGTAGTACAGGCTTGTAACCTCAAGCGCTCCAAAGGTTAAGGGCAGGCTGGAGGTGTAGCTCAGTAGGTAGAGGGCTTGCCCAACATTCACGAAGCCCTGGGTTGAACCCTCAGCACCCTATAATAACAGGGCATGGTAGTACATGCCCGCAGTCCCAGTACTTGGAGAAGGATCAGAAGTTCAAGGTCATATCTTACTATCTAGCAAGTCTAAGATCAGTCTGGGCTATGACACCTTGTATCACGAGGTGCTACTGGGAAACAGGGTGTATTGGCACATGCTTTTAGTTCTAGCACTCAGGAGGCAGAGGCAGGCAGATCTCTGAGTTTGAGGTGAGTCTGGTCTACAGAGAGAGTTCCAGGACAGCCAGTGCTGCACAGAGAAACCCTGTCTCAAAAAAGAAAAAGAAAAAACAAACAAAGTGGGGGGTGGAAGGGACTGAGGCTTGAGGGTTGCCATAAAATCAAGGCCAAAATAGTCAACACAATGAGTTGAAGGCCTGAGATAGCAAGACCTGGTCTCAAAACAACAGAAACCTTTGCTAACACAAGAGTTTTGAGGGTTGGTTTTCACTCTTGGGTAGCACATAATAGAGATCCCTGCCCCGCCCCGCCCAACGTCTCCCCCTCTATTTCTTCTTTCCTCCTTTAACTCTGGAGCCCAAGCTGGCCTTCTGCCTCAGCTCCCCAATGCAGTTAGGACTGCACTAGCCCCAGCAGAAGGGGTGATTCTTTTCATTTTATTAAAATCCCCTCTTTTCTGTGTATGAGAGTTTTGTCTGTATGCATACATGGGCACTGTGTGCATGCCCAGTGTCTGCAGAAGGCTAGGGAGGTAGACATCTGTAAGCCGCAGTCCTCTGGAGCAGTCAGGGCTTTTGACTGCTGAGCCATCTCTCCAGCCCAAGAGAGTTTCTTCACATGGTCCTGGTTACCCAGCTGTATGTCACCCCACAGTTCGACATTAGCCAAGGGTGGCCACAATAGAGTTTAAGCAATAAAGACTTCCTGCCTGACTCTGCAGATGAGCCAATGGTTGGTACTGTGGGCTATTTTGATTCCACTCTGACACTCCCGAGATTGTCCAATAAAGTTATACCTTGGATCAGGGGGCAGAGCCAGTGACTAGCTGACGAGAATTGGCCATAGAGAAGCCAGCCAGACCTGGAATGCATTGGACACACAGAATGGGATAGATGTAAAAGAGGCACGTGGTAGAACATAGATTGATAAACATATGGGTTAAGTTGTAAGAGCTAGTAAGGAATAAGTCTAAGCTATAGGCTGAGCTTTCGTAATTAATAAGAACTCTCCGTGTCATTATTTGGAAGCTGGCTGGCAGGACAGAGAAAGATTTGTTACAGGTGGCGACTCAGCACCACGCTATTCCTCACTGCGGTAACAATGGCAGGGGCAGTCTTCTAGCAGGCTAGCTTTGTTTTCCATCCAGCCTCTGAGATAAGACCACACCTCTTGGAGCTCTGGGGCCTGATCTTAGCTGTCACAGGTCTCAACCCTTCATCACTGCAGAATATTCCTTTACACCGTGTGAAGATGTGTCACTGGGATTGATTTAATAAAGAGCGGAATGGTCAATAGCTAGGCAGGAAGAGGTTAGATGGGGCTTGTGGGGACAGAGAGGACTCGGAGAGGAAGAAAGGTGGAGCCACTAGCTTGATGCAGAGAAAGCCACAGGGGTAGAGTGGGGAGATGAGGCGATGAGCCATGTGACAGAATGTAGATTAAAATGAATGGGTTAATTTGCTATAAGAGCTAGTGGGACAAGCCTAAGCTAAGACTGACCTTGCATAGTTAATCATAGTCTCTGTGTTGTTGTTTGGGAGCTGGCAGTAGAGAAAGAGTTGCTACTCATTGTTGAGTTTATAGATGTGCAGTGCATTTAGAAATGGTTGGCTGGACACTCAGGTTTCTCTGAATAGTTCTCCTGATTGCAAGGTCTGCCCCAGGCGGCCAGCTCTCTCTGCTCCCTTCCCTCATGCTGGGAGGTCAGATGCAGGCCCCCATGTTCCCAAACATGAGTTATTTGTGGGTCAACTTTGAGAGTTCTTGTGTTCACAAATCCCTGATCACTGTATTTCCTTTTTCTCCCCCCCCCCCTTCTCTCTCTCTGTCTTCCTTTCCTTTTTGTTTTTCAAGACAGCCTCTCTGTGTATTCCTGGCTGTCCTGGAATTCTCTGTAGACCAGGTTGGTCTCAAATTCAGAGATCTGCCTGCCTCTGCCTCCTGAGTGCTGGGATTAAAGACATGTGCCACCACCGTCCGGCAGATAATTTTATTTCAGTCATTTAATTTGATTTTTAAAATTATTTGATAATGCAACATATCTAATGAAATTATAAGTTTTTGTCCATCATGTAGTAAAAGCAAATATCATTAGTGATAAAATGAGCCACTGGCCAAAAATACCCCAGATCCAATAGCAGGGCTCTGGCTATACCTTGGGCTGGTATAGGACTCTTAGACAGCCAGGCTGCATCCTTGTAAGCCTGGCATGGAAGCGCTTCATCCCCAGCCTCCTGGGGTAGTCTTTGGTAGGGTTTTCCCAACCTGGGGACTCCCACCCTTGGGTTTCATTTCCCAAAATCCCAGGCCTTAAAAAGATCTGGAACTTGTGCTGATTCAATCAAGAACTGACGTGGCTGAGTTCCAGTAAAATCTGAGACACAGAACTCTGTAATCGATAAAAATTTCACCTGTCATGATATAGTATATTTTCGGGTTTTTCTCCTAACCACTTAAAAATCCCAAGACTGTTCATAGGTCAGAGATTGACCTGTGGGTGTAGTATTAGACTCTGGCTGTTTCCGATATCAGTGCATGACTCAGCCCTTCCCACCCTGGTGGCTTGCACAACCACGTTTGCGCTGACTGCCACGACCCACACAGGAGTTACTCTCATTTCACATTATTGAAGCCAAGGAGATGACATCACATTTAATTCTTTCCTGGATTGAACCAACTCTGGGCTCTTTCGTCACCGAATCCAGAGGCTCCAGCTTTAACAGAACGGCTGGTCACTCTGGACAGGTTGTAGCCAGTTTCCTCATGGCATAGTCCTTATAAAAGCAGACTAGCCGAACCCAGCTAACACATAGACAACACACCACTCAAGTCTGCTGGCGACTGAGGAAATCCTGATAGTTTTCCTGTTATCTAGCTCAGGGTCAAATTGGCCATCTATGATGGTGTTTGCTTCTGGTCTTTGCAGCAGTCTTACCTAGGTACCTGCTTCCCCTATGAAGCTGAACCGCAGCTTTTGTGCCTGTATGTCCGCGTGAGGGTGTTGGATCCTGGAGTTACAGCATCTGTGTGAGCTGTCATGTGGGTGCTGGGAATTGAACCCCAGTCCTCTGGAAGAGCAGTCAGTGCTCTGAACCACTGAGCTATCTCTCCAGCCCTGAAACCTGATTTATTCACTGTGCCCTCAATGGCAGATGTTGCCAGGCTTTGCCCACATTTTGACATCCTTGTGTGAACTAGCCCTGTGTGCACACCTATGGGTAGACTACATTACTTTCCAGCTGAATAGATCACCCTCAGGGAATTTCTTCCTGGCTTCTTAGGTAACTACTGGTATTCCAAAAGGCAACATGAATGGGTTTTTAAAACTTTTAAATGGTGCTGGATCCCCTGGAACAAGTTTCAAGAGGTTGTGAGATCATATAGGTGCTGGGAATGGAACCCAAGCCCTCTGGAAGAGCCAGGGTGGGAAGACACAGGAACACCATCAGAGGGTTATCACAACCTCTAGAACTGGAGTTACAGCTGTGAGCTGCCCGATGATGTTGGTACTAGAAGCATATCATACCCTTGACTGCTGAGCCTTAACTAAGTTTCAGATCCTTAGGTCTCAGGGCACAGTTCCTCTGCACCTCACCCTCCCTCCCACTTAGCCCTGAGGTGACCACTGCTCCAGCATGACTCATTCACTCAACCAAGTCCAGTCAAATGGCCACTCTAAGTATATCCAGGGATGAGGCGGTACACGTTATCACTGCACTTGAGAGGGCACCTGGGCAGTGAGACCCTTCCTCAAAACCACAAAGTGCTTCAGCGTTTAGAAGGACAAGGCACCTTGGCTCACTCAAACTGAGTCAGTTTAACAGACAAACAAACACGGAAAGATGGATCGTAGATAAAACTGCATTTATTGTTTCTGGAGACTGGGCTTCTTGTAGCCCAGCCAGGTAGGCCTTGAATCACAATCTTCTTGCCTCCACCTCCAAGAGCTTGGATAGCAGGTGTGCTTTCCTTTAGCTGCCTCCAGTATCCATGGTTTATTAAACTCAGATGTTCCATCTGCAGAGATCAGAAACACCACGCAGTGAAAAAATCAGGCAATATCACAAAACCAAGGGCTGCTCTAAGTGCCCACTGCCGTGAGGGGCAATAACAAAACCTGACCCAAGTTTCGGATCCTTACTGCATCCAGTGAGCCAAAAGGCCCGTGGCCCACATTTTGCAGCAGCCCACACCCATTCCAGCTAGACATAATCATGACCTCATATGCACCATGCTAAATCCAAACCACAGAGGCAACCAAATGTCAGGGCCCAAGTCCAGATACAGAAGTTTTGAAATAGTTTTGTAAACTTTAACACAGTTGAACTTTCTGAGATTCAATCACATGGCTTATGGAAAGGCCACAGGGTTTTTTTTTGGGGAGGGGGGTGCCCTTTTTTATTGCTGTTTCTGTTACAGCTGTTCTCTAATTCT